GGGGACTGGACAAACAGTCCAGAGGCCTATGGAAAATATTTCAGGCCCATGTTGAAACACTAGCTGGGAATGCATAAGCTTGTAAATTTATGGAGCAGCATATCCACAGCACACCTTCAGTACTGCTTCCTTGCAAACAAAGATTTAGATATCCATTTCTCCATCTTATATCTATCCTTATTGCCACCTGGTCTCCAGATAAAACATTTATCAAAGATTTGTGTATTGATGTAAAAAGAGAACAAACCAAACAAAAAAATTATTATTATTTTTTTTTTTACAGCTATAACATTGGCGATAGTAATGCATTGAAATGAAGTGCATTACACATGTCCTTGAAATTACAAAGACAGTCCTGCAATCTGGATCCTGTTTTGACATCAGGCACTCCTCTGCCCTTTTGGGCCAGTCCTTCTCACACACAGGGAACATTCAGCACACATGTGTCGTATGTGCAGGACAAGTGTGTTTGAATAAAAACTGAGCTCATAAGGGTGTCACACAAGAAAACAGGAGATGAAATCAAGTCATTTGCCCTGACCACTGAATCAGAGTTTTATTTGCAAGGCATTCTGACAGTTTGATATAAAAATAAACTGCATAGCTCCATCAAGGACTCTTCATGTTTGTGGAGGAAGAGGCAAGTCTGTCCAAACTTCCCCCTAATGCTTCCTTTGTAAATTTGCATATGCAGATATTCCTGGCATCTGGTTCCTCCTCCATGTCACACATTCTCACATGTTGTAGGCCACATATATAGGGTCCAGCTGGTCAGCGAGGAAGCCGTCCCGCAAGTGCATGCGCTGCTTCTCCCCTCTGGAGTTGATAGGAATGACTCCATGGTCCACCACCACAACGACCCCCACTATGAGATAGTGCTCTTCCAGAACCACGTTGGTCACCAGAGCAACAAGGTCCAGGGCTTCCTGTTCTGACCCCTCAAGCTCCACGACCACCACCAAGAGATTCGTCCATGTGAACACAGCACTGAGGAGAGAGTGAGAGAAAGTGAGGAGATGAAAGGTGTATATCATGCCGCTCTAGAATAATGTGCAAAAAACATAATTTATTGGACAGCACAACTGATTTTTCCTATTATCATATCTGATATGAATACACATCAAAAAACAATGCACAAACACTACAACAACAACAAAAAAAAATGTATTAGCTTGTCAGGGTGTGTGTTGAAAGCTTTTATTGAACATAATTTTAAATTGAATAGTCACCTCAGAAATATCTTGAAATGGGACACTAGTGTGTTTGGATACAGTACCTCCACTGGCATCTGTAAGTTCTGTGCGCCGCAGGAAGCCGAGATATCCAGTGCGAGCCCAAACCGTCTGCGTGTCACCGAAGCTCAGTCTGGTGCTGAAGTGGTCAGCGTGCAATGCCTCTTCACCATAAACCGTATAGTATCCTGTGGCATTATGGGGGCCGCTCACCCAGATCTGTTTTTAAATACAGTCCCATCAGCTCACTACACATGATATAATATAACATAACAGACTCCGCTCACTACACATGATATAATATAACATAACAGACTCTGCAGGTAACAGTACTTATTTTAGAGCTCAGATGTGGTTCTCTGTGGTTAATAGAACTCGCTTTAATATTTGAAACTCACTTCTCCCAGATGAGAATCTCCAAGAGGGCCTTTGGTTTCTGTGTTGGCAATTATAACCTTTACCCCAGGCAGAATCTGTGTGTTGAGAAATGTAATAAAAAGAAAATAATTACATTTTTTTATTTAATTTATTTGAATGAAATATTTATTAGTTATAAATTTGGATTAACTACGTTTTTTTAATGTTTTTGAAAGAAGTCTCTTATGCTCACCAAGGCTGCATTTATTTGATCAAAACTACAGTAAAACAGTAATATTGTGCAATATTATTACAATTTACAGGAACTGTTTTCTGTTTTAATGTATGCTTTTAATGTAATTTGTTCCTGAGATGCAAAGCTGTATTTTCAGCATCATTACTCAGTCTTCAGTGTCACACGATCCTGCAGAAATCATTCTAATATGCTGATTTGCTGCTCAAGAAACTTTATTATCATCAGTGCTGAAAACAGTGTTTTCTGCTTAATACCATTTAAGTCAGATAAAAAATAAATACTTTTCTTCAGAAAGAATGTATTAAATTGATCAAAAGTGACAGTAAAGATGCATAATGTTACAAAAGATTTCTATTTCAAATAAATGCTGTTCCTTTGAAATTTCTATTCATGAAAGAATAAAAAAAAATGTAAATGTGGCAGTTAAAGAAACAGTTATTTTAAATTGCAATAATATTTCACAATATTACTGTTTTTAACTGTATGTTGGATCAAATAAATGCAGCCTTGATGAGAACAAAACACTTTACTTTCAAAAACATCAAAATATTGTAATTATTCCATTAACATTTTGTATGTGTATTCATTATTTATAATATCTCACCTTCCCAGATTCCATCAGTGGCAGACTGTGCGGTGATCCTCTCTCAACTAATCGAACCCTGAGCGAATTGAAAAAAACAACAACAAAAAAACAAAACAGATCATATATAACTGAACGTTTCTAATTAAAAGACCAAAATAATTTACTTATTAGCTGATAAACAACAGAATATGAATAGACATGAATTGACACTGGTATATAAGCTTTAGGTAAATCAGAAGTGTTTGTTATAGCACCTGTCATGCCGCAGAGCCCTCATGTCTAGATATACTGTGGTGGGATCCGGCCCAGAGGTGCCCTAGAAACACAGAACAGCAGATCACTGGAGGTCTGTGATATATCTGCCACCACAGATTCTGTGTTCATACTACTGATCCACCTTTAGGCACTAGCACATGTACTGTGTTACCATGAACCGGCGGTGACATTATATGTGACGACACATAGGACCTTCTCAGAAAGATTATAAAAGTGAACATGGATTCTTAAAGGCAAAGTGTGTAATTTGTTTTGCTATACTTTTCTTAATAGGCAGTGACAACTATAAGCCATTTTCATGTTAAACTATTAGCTCTGTGGTGCTATTAAGGCAGCTCTTTTGTTTGTTTGACCAGTCTGACACGGAAACATAGACTCAAACAATTCTGTGAGTTCTATTATGTTTCCCAAGTAGTCATACAGGTTTGGAACGACATGAGGGTGATGACAAATCTTCATTTTTGGATGAACCATCAATTTAATCAGTCGCTGTAAAAAAAGTTTCTGTCTTAGTTCTTGTAAAACATCTTACTCTTGTTGTGTCTAACTGTAAAGCATTATATGATGGAATGAAGCATTGCAACAGTTACAATGACCTGCTCATGAATGTAACCCCTGTACTGCAAACACAGCTCATACAAGTCTACTCTATATGCACAGCTACAAGCATTGCTTTGACACAGCCTAGAGTAAGTTTATGAGATTTGTAAATTATTCCATTCCTTTTTTACTCACAATTTGTACAGTGTCACAATTTTTTTGGAATTGGGTTTGTAGATATATAGTAAGTGCAGGGCCAAGCACAAAAGCTGTGAAGAGCAGAGCAGGCATATGAATACATTCTGTCAAAGTAAATGAAAAACAAGTATATAGACATTAAAGTCACATTTCATAAATAGAAGCTTGCCATCTTTTGGACTACTGAGCATTCTTTATGTCGTGCACATGAGCATTTCACACAAACAGAGACATATGAAAAGCAGAGCCTTTACAAGCGTCCTGAAAGCCCCCTGCTAGCACCCCTGTGGTCCCCATCTGGGTCACAGTACCTGCTCAGCCAACTTGCCCAGCCTGTTGGGCTGACGAGAGGGCATGGAGCAGCAGACAAACACAGGTGTACATTTAATACACAAACAGATACATGTACATACAGTTACAGACATGAATCCAGGCCAGTGAACAGAACATAAGGGTACAGAAAATGATTTTTAAACAATTACAGCAGATAAAGACCTATTCACACAAAGTGCGATGCGACAAAGCGACGCAAAAAAAATAACAGCGTTAATAGTAATTTTTCACACCAAGTGTGATATTAAATTTCGATAGCCTTAGAGAAAATGTTACATACCTGAAAAAAACGCTAATTTATATCTGTTTCGATATATTTAGCCTTTGGTGTGAAGAGATTTGTAGTGCATTATTCTTGTCTTGATAAAAAATCATGGAAATTTCACACAATGTGAACAGGTCATTTAAAAGCACACATTCTATTTTCTACCTAACACAAATACAAAACACTTGAGTTCATCACTGACCTGAAGACAAATTGCCACATTGACCCTACAGCCGAAGGTGGTGCTGACGGCCCGTGAGGAGAGCCCCAGGTCTTTGAAGATCTTCGAGAAGGACTGCGTAAGTGTGATGCGAGGACGTTCTTCAGCCACCACCATACAGGTCCGTACACACGACAGATTCACATTCCGTAACTACAGGTGTACAGATGGGGGTTAAACTCAGCGGAACAAATCAAATGCAACTTATGCCCTTAACGACTTTAACTAGAACTACTGTAAGATAAATGGGATCCTAGAATATGCTGATACTCAGAGATAGGACATACAACTTAGTCTAAGATAATGAAAAAAGTAAAGTAAACTACAGTTTGGTGTCGGTAGGATTTTTAAAAATATTTGTATAAGAAGTCAAAATGCTCACCGATGCTGCATTTATTTGATCAAAAATATAGTAAAAACTGTTACACTGTGAAATATTCTAGCAATTTAAAATAACTGGTTTCTATTTTCATATATTTTCAAATCAAATTTATTCACATTGACATTGACAATTGACACAGAATATAATCTACATATATAATCTAATATAATTAATCTACAGTGGTCCCAAAAAGTATATGGACATTATAGTCACCATTAATGACAATAATCTTGTTATTTTGATATAAAAAGTTCGACCACTTGGTAAAATAAATAAATAGCAAAAATTACCTGAGTGAGAAAAGCTTTAGAATTATTTGTTTTCTATGACAGTTAATTTGATATTTAATTAAAAAAAGTTAGTCAGTTAGTTAACTTTAGTTAATGCATTAGGTATCATGAACTAACGATGAGCAACAATTTTTTACAGCATTTATTAATCTATGTTAATGTTAATTTATAAATGCACAGCAAAAAAAATTATTATTCCTAATGAATATTAACAAAATCAACATTATTGTTAAAGTGTTACCCATAAGATTCTATAAAATACAATAATACCGACTGGCCACAAGGGTTTCTGTTTATTGGCTAGGGAAGCAGCATGTGCTGCACTCAGAGACTGAAGTTACCTCAACAATCATTTTAACGGTTGGCAGGGTTGTGGTTAAGTTCTGTGGGTGTGGAGGCCTGACGGTGACTGGAACACAGCCGGCATACAGACAGCCATAGAAAGTGGCGATCAGATCAATACCTGCAAATTAGGAAGAGAGGTATTGAGCCCCACAAAACCTGAGATCTAAACACCATTTATTAGACCACAGTAATATAAGTGTCTTTCTCTCCTACCAGGAGGATAAACAAGTGCTACATGATCTCCAGTGTTAAGTCGACCTCTTTCCATCAGCGCTACGGCCACACGCTCTGCCCGCTTGTGCAGCTGTACACAGGAGGCTGTGTTGGCCACAGTGCCCTGAAAAAATAAAACACACCAAGTAAGATCATAGTGAATATACGCAATCTGACTCTGAATACTGTGTTTCCTGGACTGAGGGATAATGAGTTTTATACCTTGGCATTGAGCAGCAGAAACAGAGGGTGATCTGGTGTGGCCTGAGCCCTCCACTGCAGAACATCCTGCATGTACAGGAACTACAAGAGGAGAGAGGACACATTCAGACAACAGTATACTTCAGGACCTGTCCCCGTGATAAAGTGCACTTAAATGTATTGAAAGCGCACTTGTAGTGTACTTCAAATCTTAGATGTAACTTGTACTTGCACTTGTAAATCCGCTTAGTGTTCTTAAAGAGAGAACGCTTTCATGACTATGTTTCTTAACTCACTTAAGTAACATTTTCAAAAGTGCACTTTGATGTCAAATGAAACGTTTTCATCATTACAAATGTGCAATTAAAATATATGTATGATATTGATTTATACTGTATTTTACCATAAATGCTTTTCAGCACATTCAGCAGTACTTTTACCATATTTCATTGACTGTAGAATTAATTATGAAATTACGTATAAAGATGTACTTAAAGGGATAGTTCACCCAAAAATGAAAATTATGTCATTAATTACTCACCCCCATGCCGTTCCAAATCTGTAAGACGTTCGTTCATCTTCGGAACAGAAATTAAGATATTTTTGATTAATTCAGAGAGCTCTCTGACCCTCCATAGACAGCAAGGACATTGGTTAAATAGTCCATGTGACATCTGTCATTTTACGAAGCTACAAGAAAACTTTTTGTGCGCAAAGCAAACAAACATAACGACTTTATTCAACAATACGTCTCCTCCGCGTCACCCTATAGTGCCATTTTGGGGAGTATTACATACATAAACAACGTATGCTGTTCTGTGTCAGCAGCACCGTATGCGGATACACGGTTTACATTGTTTACACTTTGATCAGAATGTAAACAACGTATCCGCGTACATACATTGCATACATTGTTTAGGATACTCTCAAAAATGACGCTATAGGGTGATGCGGAGGAGACGAATTGTTGAATAAACTTTTTGTGCGCAAAGCAAACAAACATAACGACTTTATTCAACAATACGTCTCCTCCGCGTCACCCTATAGTGCCATTTTGGGGAGTATCACATACATAAACAACGTATGCTGTTCTGTGTCAGCAGCACCGTATGCGGATACACGGTTTACATTGTTTACACTTTGATCAGAACGTAAACAACGTATCCGCGTACATACATTGCATACATTGTTTATGATACTCTCAAAAATGACGCTATAGGGTGATGCGGAGGAGACGAATTGTTGAATAAAGTTGTTATTTTTGTTTGCTTTGCAAAAAAAAAATTCTCGTAGCTTCGGAAAATTACGGTTGAACCACTGATGTCACATGGACTATTTTAACAATCTTCTTGCTAAGTTTCTGAGCTTTGATCGTGTAAAGATCCTTGCTGTCTATACAGGGTCAGAGAGCTCTCAGATTTCATCAAAAATATCTTAATTTGTGTTCCGAAGATGAACGAACGACATGAGGGTGAGTAATTAATGACAGAATTGTTTTGATCATTTTTGAGTGAGCTATCCCTTTAAGTTTTACTTAAGTGGGTCAAAAAAGCACTCTAAATTTCAGCTACTTGCATTTAATATAAATTTAGTATAATACATATTCATTTAAATACAATTAACCTGCAGTTTAGTGTCTGAAAACATTACATTCAGTTTGCATTTAAGTACATTCTTTTAAAATATATTATTTCTAGTGCTGTAAAACGATTAATCACATCCAAAATAAAAGGTTTTGTTTACATAGTATATGTGTATGTACTGTGTATATTTATTATGCATATATAAATACATGCATGTATATATTTTAAAAAATATATGTTCCGTTTATATATTAAATATATTTATATATAATATACATTTTATGAATATAAATATATACATGTAAATATTTTCAAAATATATGCTGTATGTGTGTGTATTTATATATACATAATAAATATACACACACATATATTATGTACACAAAAACTTTTATTTTGGTTGTGATTAATCGCGATTAATCGTTTGACAGCACTAATTATTTCCATAATAAGTACTCTTTTTTTTAAAGTACGCTAAAGTGTACTTCTTTTTCACCACTGACCTCTGTGGTTTGAGAGAGTGAAATGGGGTTGATCTTTACCTGATCATTGTCCTCCAGCTGTGAAACATCTCTCCCACAGGCCTGTGCAATCCTTTTTCCTGCCACTAGGTTTCCGACTATCATGGAAGCAGGACCCACCTCTGAAACAACAGAGACAACAGGTCATATGATGTGCAAAATATGCATAAAATGAAAAACAACCACCCAAACACTAACGCAGGACTCACCTGTACCCGGCTGCTTCTGTCTAGGTTTGGGCAGGTTGGTGACGCAGGTATGAGGGCACATGAGGACATTGCAGGGGTGCAGGGCTCCCTCCAGGAAGCGCTGTTTGGTCTCTGAGATGTGGATGCCACCCAGAGGAGCTTTGGGTAGTGTGTTAGCGGGCACCAGAGCCAGGCAGTACACTCCCACCTGATGGATGCTGTCAATAGCCTGAGAATTAAACAGAAAGTGGTCAAGAAAATTAGTATGTGTGTAAGCGTGTTGTTTTTGTGCACATTACAAGTAAACACTTCGGACACACCTACTTGTAATTGTAAAATGCATATAGTTTTCTGTTAGGGTTAGGTTTAAAATATTATTTTTAACTAGCTGTATTAAAAAACAATAGAAGTCTATGCAGTGTCCTCATTTAGATAGCTATGTCTTAGATAGTGTGTGTGTGTGTGTGTGTGTGTGTGTTCACCTGCAGCACACGACTCATCCACTGGAAGCTGTCCTCCTCCGAGGCGTCTGGTCTCTGTTCTGCCACCACGACAATGCGTTCATCGTGCAGCACCGATACAGAGAAAACCGCAATCCTGACAGAGAAAAGAGATGCAGCCTTCAGTCTGAGCAGAGATACACACTCATCTCAAGTCGAGAGTAAATGACATTTGAGTTACCTTCCTCTGTACACAAACTTCATGGGCTCCACGGCCAGTGCTGTGGCCACCACATCATCTGCGTTATGTCTCCGTCCACTCACCACCATCAGTCCATCCATCTTTCCCACCACAAACACCAAATTATCCTGTAATACAAGAAACAAACCCAATCCCAAAAAGATGAACACCACGTGTTGTTTTAAAAGACACTTCAAAGTTATCCTGCTTCAGAAGGAATGGTTTCGTTTTAAGACATCTGAACCCACCGGCCCGATGAAGCCAAGGAGAGATGTGCGTGTGAAGGGTCTGTCACTGATGGGAGCTCCTGATGACGTGACTGGAATGGTCTGAAAGCAAAACAACAACAACATTTTAGTCGAGTTTACAATGCTGTCAAGTCCTTATTTTACTTACCTTTTTTTAGGTAAGCATCACAAACGTTTTAACAGGATAATAACACATAACTCAAAGCTCTTGATGACTAGTGGTTTTATTTGAGAACTTTTAACAAATTTTTTTTGAACAAATTGTTCTCATTGGCTATTGTTGTTACTTTTTTCTATATCTTATATAGAGTTATGTCACAGTCAGACAAAATAATATAACTGATCTATATTGTTGTAGAGAAAATGCTCATGTCTTTCTAGAATCACTTAGTTAAATTATAGGCTCAGACATTTCGGTAAAGTATAATAACAAGAATTGCAGTAGTGAATGAATGTTCCCCTTCAGGAACTCGAGCTGCGTCGAGTCGCTTTGGGAACGCCCTTGCGTGCCCGCGTTCTGAAGCACGTGTCAAATCCGTCCAATGGAGCAGCGAGACGTCACGAGCAGGGTGCACACACACACACACACACACACAGACAGACAGACAGACAGACAGTCACAGATAGATAGACAGACAGACAGACAGGCACACACACACACACACACGCACACAGACACAGATAGAGACAGACAGACAAACAGACAGATAGACAGACAGACAGACAGACAGACAGACAGACAAACAGACAGATAGACAGACAGACAGACAGATGGATCCACCTATCATTGGTCATTATCTCAAAATAAGCATTATGCCTTAAGTTAGTGTGGTCCTGACCTCTATGTATGCGATCTCATTGCTAGCGTCTCTTATTGGAGGATGCCAGTCTTTAGGAGGCTTTACAACATGCTTTCCATCAGTAACGAACCACAGCAGTCGTGGCCAGCCTGTAAAAACATACATACACATTATACCCGAGGCGAAGAAACAGCACCATTAAATAAAGATGAAGTAGGGCTGGACGATATGGCCAACATTTATATCACAATATATTTCTTAATTTTGGTCGATACGATATAAGTCCGATATCGATATGAACACTATTTAAAAAAAGCCTAATAAAAACTGCCAAGAACACCCACAACAGATGTATGTACCAACAAACTTATGAAGAATTAATTTGCCAAGTCTATGAAACCTCTTCCTATAAAACTATTAAATTTTTGAGAAGAAAAAAACAGCACAAATAAATTAATGTTCACCTTTTATTTGTATTTAGCCTTCATACAAACAAGAAATGTGAAATCACTGTCAAATAAACATCTCAGACTCTCCTTATTAATATTGATATATTTAACTTCAAACTATAGGCTAACATACCAGTCAAAAGTTTTTGAACAGCAAGATTTGTAATGTTTTTTAAAGAATTCTCTTCTGCTCACCAAGCTTGCATTTATTTGATCCAAAATACAGCAAAAACAGTAATATTTTGAAATATTTTTACTATTTAAAATAACTATTTCTATTTGGAAATATTTTAAAATCGAATTTATTCCCGTGATTTCAAAGCTCAATTTTTAGCATCATTACTCCAGTCACGTGATCCTTCAGAAATCATTCTAATATTCTGATTTGCTGCTCAAAAAACATTTATTATTATTATGAAAACAGCGTAGAATTTTTTTCAGCTTTCTTTGATGAATAGAACGTTCAGAAGAACAGCATTTATGAGAAATGTGAAATCACTGTCAAATAAACATCTCAGACTCACCTTATTAATATTGATATATTTAACTTCAAACTATAGGCTAACATACCAGTCAAAATTCATACTCTGATCCAGTCATATTCTGATTTGCTGCTCAAAAAACATTTATTATTATTATATCATGTTACAAAAGCTTTTTATTTCAGATAAATGCTGATCTTTGTCTCTTTCTATTCATCAAAAAATCCTGAAAAAAAATTCACTCAACTGTTTTAAATATTGATAATCAGCAAATCAGCATATTAGAATGATTTCTGAAGGATCATGTGACACTGAAGATTGGAGTAGGCCTAATGATGCTGAAAATCCAGCTTTGATCACATGAATAAATTAAATTTTTTAATATATTCAAACAGAAAACAGTTATTTTGAATAGTAAAATTATTTCAAAATCTTACTGTTTTTGTTGTACTTTGGATCAAATAAATGCAGGCTTGGTGAGCAGAAGACACTTCTTTAAAAAACAATAAAAATCTTACTGTTAAAAAACTTTTGACTGGTAGTGTAGGCTGCTTATTCTTATAGATTGAAACACATGTATTTCAGCCAGGATAAAGAGTATGAAAAGTGCTCTGAGTTGCTGCAGAAAACAAAACAAAAAATTAAGCAACAACAGTGACTGGAGTAATGATGCTAAAGCTCTGCTTTGAAATCACAGGAATGAAATGCATTTTCAAATAGAAAACAGTTATTTTAAATAGTAAAAATATTTCAAAATGTTACTGTTTTTGTTGTACTTTGGATCAAATAAATGCAGGCTTGGTGAGCAGAAGACACTTCTTTAAAAAACAATAAAAATCTTACTGTTAAAAAACTTTTGACTGGTAGTGTAGGCTGCTTATTCTTATAGATTGAAACACATGTATTTCAGCCAGGATAAAGAGTATGAAAAGTGCTCTGAGTTGCTGCAGAAAACAAAACAAAAAATTAAGCAACAACAAAAACGTTGCTGGAGACGGGTTTATTATTGAAAATGCAAACTGCTTGTCTGCCAGCAGGAGGCACTGTGAGAGCGGCAGAAACAGCGGTTTCTCCGGTAACGGCTGTAATCAAAGCAGCTCCGCTCATGAACGCTACTTTATCAGATCAAATAAAAATGCCATCGAAACTTTTCTGAAGACAGTCGGTTCCCTTCAGAGATACATTCATGTAAAACACCTGCGCTGCAGTTTGATTTTAAAAGGTGCAGTGCTCATGTTTATTCAACGAAGTCAAACTGCACAAATAAATCAATGTATGGGAAACACTGTTAATGTATATCGAAATATCGGAAATGTGTTTAAAAATCATATCACCGTTATTGAAAAAAATTATATCGCGATACATATTGATATTGAATTATTGTCCAGCCCTAAGATGAAGTAACTGGCTTGTACGGATCACCCACCCTTAAAAGTGACAACTTCTCCGGTCTGTGCTTTGGGCAGACCCTTCTGACAGGCATCAGTGGTCAGGGCCAGAGTGACCCCACAGCTGCCCAACAGAAACCCCACCTGCTGACTGCCTGCATCCTGATGAGAGGAGACACAGACAGTCATCAATACAACTCCGATCTGCAGTCCACTCACTCCCTCTCCGCCTTTCATTAGACGGTCTGCAATAACACAGTCACAATAACACAGCACTAAGGCATCGTGTATGTTATTGTGTCCTTCATTTTAAAGGATTAGCTGTCTCCATCAGGACCATCGGCACTATTAATCAAACGGAACACGCTTCAAAGCAGCACAGAGACAGCTAATGATACCTTTAGATAGAAGACATTCAGGTCATTTACAGAAGAGAAAACCCCAAGGAGTGACTGGTTATTCATACATGCTCACATACTCACAATATCAATGCATACTGACATCTTTAAGAAAACAGCACTTATCTTTTGACTACCAGTAAACAAGTTATGCTCATACCATACAGTGGTTTGAGTTTTGGAAATTAAACGTTTTTTTTTCAAGGACAATGCTGAGATGTGAGGAGATCAGGGTGTCATATTGTGTCTTTTCCTGTAGGGAGCTCTATTGTGATTGAAATCTATGCTAGTGTGCTGGTGTAATGCTGATTAATACCTTTCGAGTGAGTGGCACTTCTATGGGCACAGGCACCAGCTCCGCTAGAAGGCATGCATAAAACGCCACCATAAACATCACAGGATCATTGTTGGGGAACACAAGTGCAACCTGTGGAGATACACAACAGATTTATTTACACCTCTAGCATTAATGTTGTTTACTGCTACTGTTTGTGTATTACTTCTTTTATTCTGGGCCTGTTACACTTGGTATTAACGTCGTCCATCACTGGATATGTTAAGTTGTGTCCGAAATGGTTTATTGGAATTTTCTTTCTCCTTTATACTACAAAATAACTTAGAATTGTGCATAAGTATACAAATTGGGACATACTAACATCTTAGCCTACTAGTTTGTTTGATTAGCTAGAACGTGACATTATGGTAACATGCTATGTCTTTGATCAGTCACTGAGGAACAGGATAGGATTCTGCAGGGGAATGGGATCTTGCAGGACAGAATGGACAGTTAATGCAAGATGTAAACGGATGTGAATGTGCATGATAAGGACACTCACTCTGTCTCCAGGTCGTAGTAGTGGTTCATTCCTGGTGCTCAGTTTGTTCAGCAGTGTATAAGCAAGTTTCTGACTCCGCGTCCACAACTTCCCTACGGAAACATATTTACAAAAACACACATTCAAGCCTGCACTGTCTGTTCACTTACAGTATGAATGAGAGTTCATTCATCATTTCAAATGAGTACACTAGCAATATACACAGATAAAACAAGTCAAATATATAAGATTACCCCCTATGATAAACAGTGTTACTTTGGAAATGTAACAGGTTACAGATTACAAGTTAGCGTATTTAAAATGTAATAAGTAATGTAACTATTTCAATTACTTAAAGTAATGTAACTGATTACATTTGATTACTCTTTGATTACTTTTCTACATTTCTAATGAATGTTTTCAACTGTTAATCATGTTGAAACATTTAAAGCAAGCAGGGTTAACCTAACAGTAGCACTCAACACTGATTACTGTCAGATTTTCATAATGCTTCATCACTTGAATTAAGATGATAAAAATTGTATTTTAAAGCACAGCCACCACAAAATCAGACTTTAGCACCTCTTTTTACTGTGGGGTCGTTCTGAGGTTACAGATTTAAGATACAGTTTAATAGCTACAGTATGATACTGTTTTTGAAATCGAATCTTTGCATAGCTATGACAGGAAACACTGGCATCTTACAATGCTTTGGAAAAACAAAGAATCTTTAAAAAATAAGCGCATTTACATAAAACCAGAACAATCCGTTGTCCTAAACTCCTGAAACATTGGTGTCTCATATTTTTCAGCAGTCAATGCAATTTGGGAAAGAAATCAATCAAATCTGTATGTGTAATTGTTAACATTTTCATAAGTAACTGTAATTTATTTACACTTTTTTTTCTCAGTAACTATAACAGATTACAGTTACATAAATTTTGTAATTAAATTACGTAATTCCGTTACATGTTACTAGTTACTCCCCAACACTGATGATAAATAAGTACATGTAATTTTGAACAAGACATGAATAACAATTACATATGCACTACAAAGTAGTGTAGTTCAGGAAACAGGAGTATACATGTAAATTGTTGCATTTAATTCAATGGGAGGTTCCACTGTACCATATGTTAGTGTGTAGATGGGTTTGCCGGCGTTGTCCAGTGCGGTGAGGCAGGGGCTTTTAGGTTGTGTGGTGCCCCAGCGCTGTAAAGAGGCCAGTAATGACGGAGGCCAGTTAGTGACCACCCCCAGCGGCTCCCCATTCAGGGGTCTCATCTCACCCCCCTCAGGCTTCGGCTGGTTTGGATCTGGATGCTGGACTGTAGATGACAGGAAATCATGTCAGAGACAGACATGTAGATCTGCTGCTGCTGTGTGTTTAATACAACACTGAAGTAGTATATACGGTACATATGTGGTTTGTCTTATGCAAATATACATTATTACAGATTATATATAAATGTATACTTACCAATTACGTAATTCCGTTACATGTTACTAGTTACTCCCCAACACTGATGATAAATAAGTACATGTAATTTTGAACAAGACATGAATAACAATTACATATGCACTACAAAGTAGTGTAGTTCAGGAAACAGGAGTATACATGTAAATTGTTGCATTTAATTCAATGGGAGGTTCCACTGTACCATATGTTAGTGTGTAGATGGGTTTGCCGGCGTTGTCCAGTGCGGTGAGGCAGGGGCTTTTAGGTTGTGTGGTGCCCCAGCGCTGTAAAGAGGCCAGTAATGACGGAGGCCAGTTAGTGACCACCCCCAGCGGCTCCCCATTCAGGGGTCTCATCTCACCCCCCTCAGGCTTCGGCTGGTTTGGATCTGGATGCTGGACTGTAGATGACAGGAAATCATGTCAGAGACAGACATGTAGATCTGCTGCTGCTGTGTGTTTAATACAACACTGAAGTAGTATATACGGTACCCTATGTGGTTTGTCTTATGCAAATATACATTATTACAGATTATATATAAATGTATACTTACCGATACTAAGACATTTAATCAGTGTAATTAAAAATCTATTATTTTCCACCTATGAAATGTATTATTGTATTGCGTGCTTATTGAAATCACTACCAAGTTGAGTCTTCTGCCTATATACAGTGTTCAAAATCAGTAATTTATATGGTTCCATGATAGATGCTGCCTTACACTGTAAGCAGCTCACTGGGTTTTGGAGCAGAGTTTATGTGAGAGTGATTTTAAATGTCACTGAGCATCTCAGGGTGACTTATGCATCCCGAGGATGAAATGTGACACAGCTTTAAATAGATTTGATTGATTTTGTGCGTCTGGAACAGAAAGAGAAAGAAAAGCAGAGAGCAAGAGAGAGAGAGACAGAATATAAAGTGAAGATGCTGCTGCTAAGAGAATACGAAAGTGTATTTCTCAGCATATTTTTAAGAAACGTAAGAAATGACTGACTGAACAAAGAGAGAAAAAGGAAAGTAGAGATAGATTCAGAGGGGTTCTCAAACTTTAATAACCTGTCAATTTGTGGATCACTGTACTGTCACTGGACAGTGTATATAACAACAATAATAAAATAAGAGTTTATCTCCATAATGCAGGAACACATAAAAGGCTGAATAATTTGAGTATGGCATACAATGTTATGTTTATATGCATAAATAAACAAATTATATATATAATATAAACAAAGGTATATAATAAAACATCCCATTAATTTTCTGAGAAATTGACTTGAGTAATAATGTTTAAACCTTTTTAAACCTTTTAACTGCTGAATAAAATCCTGACTTGAGATTGACCAATCAGAGAAGTCACTGTTACCACAGAAACAGGATCAGGTCACTCCAAACTCTCAGTAAACAGGTCCACTTTCTCAATATGTATGTAATATGTACGTGACAAATAAAGAACCTTAAAAGAACCTTGAACAAAAGTTTCTTTCTTTCTTTTTTTAATGCACTACCATTCAAAGTTTGGGGTTGACAAAAATATTTTTATGTTTTTGAAAGAAGAAGATGTGAAAATATTAAGATTTAAAATGATTTAAAACACACACACACACACACACACACACACACATATACTGTATATACAGTGCCGTGAAAAGGTTTTTGCCCCTTCCTGTTTTTATTTTTTGCATGTCTGTCACACTTAAAAATATTCAGATCATCAAACAAATTTTAATATTACACAAAGATAATGCAAGTAAATACAAAATGCAGTTGTTAAATGATGATTTCATTTATTAAGGGAAAAAAGCTGTCCAAACCTGCCTGGCCCTACGTGAAAAATGAATTGCCCCGTCCTGTTAAATCAAGAACTGTGATTAACCACATTATTTTAGAAAAGTTCAGTATATAATAAAACATCCCATTAATTTTCTGAGAAATTGACTTGAGTAATAATGTTTAAACCTTTTTAAACCTTTTAACTGCTGAATAAAATCCTGACTTGAGATTGACCAATCAGAGAAGTCACTGTTACCACAGAAACAGGATCAGGTCACTCCAAACTCTCAGTAAACAGGTCCACTTTCTCAATATGTATGTAATATGTACGTGACAAATAAAGAACCTTAAAAGAACCTTGAACAAAAGTTTCTTTCTTTCTTTTTTTAATGCACTACCATTCAAAGTTTGGGGTTGACAAAAATATTTTTATGTTTTTGAAAGAAGAAGATGTGAAAATATTAAGATTTAAAATGATTTAAAACACACACACACACACACATATACTGTATATACAGTGCCGTGAAAAGGTTTTTGCCCCTTCCTGTTTTTATTTTTTGCATGTCTGTCACACTTAAAAATATTCAGATCATCAAAAAAATTTTAATATTACACAAAGATAATGCAAGTAAATACAAAATGCAGTTGTTAAATGATGATTTCATTTATTAAGGGAAAAAAGCTGTCCAAACCTGCCTGGCCCTACGTGAAAAATGAATTGCCCCGTCCTGTTAAATCAAGAACTGTGATTAACCACATTATTTTAGAAAAGTTGAGTTAAATTTCACTAGCCATTTCCAGATGCATTCAACCCTTCACAGTGACACACCACACATCAGGCAGAAATGACTCATATTATTAATATGGCTGCCTTATTCAAATATGTTGTTTTGTGTTATTTTCCTGTCTCCTGGGTCAGTAGCTTCTTCTAAAAAAAGCAGTTTTTGACTAAATAGCAAAAGGTTATGAGTAAGGATATTCAATGTCAGTGTAAATGCCAATTCACATTTTTGTTTTCATAGAAGCCTTCATGTTTTCATAGAACCCTTTTGTGAGATGAAAGTAAATATATATATGGCGATGGAGGGCTTGAGTGTGAGACATGGCTCAAGTTTTAAAGTTCCTCCAGAATACTAAAACTAATTTTGACATTCTCTGAAGGAAATGTGATTGGTGTCTGTCCTCGCTATCATGATGTGGCGGTTTCGTTACAAAAGATCTCAATTTCAAGTCTCTACAATATTTTGTTCTTAGCATCTTAGCTGAGGTCACTACTTTAATGTCAATATATGCAATTTTGTGTCAACTTTATTGTCTGCCAAGTGAAAAAGCTATGTTTAGTAGTAATAGTACAGCTCTCTTCAGTAAGCCAAATAATTTCAATTTCATGATCATGAAATCCTATAGCATATAAAGGGTGCGTTATACTTTGCCTTTTATGAACTTCCCTTGCTAGCGTCCCTCTGTCTTGTTTACTTGAATACACATCATTGCTTATGTTGCACAAGTGCCCACTACTGGCAGAACCATTGCAATGGGTTGAATTGAAACGCCCTTGATCGCTTGTAATCTGCTATGGCGTATGGAGTGTGTCACAGTCATGTTGCATTGTGGTATATGGAGCTGCCTGAAGTGTTCATATAAAAAGACTCGGGTTGAGGGTATGTCAATGCAAACTTCCTTTGCCCACCACTTGACTTGATCAAAATGGCGGTGGGAATTCCCCAAGGTAAAGTGAGTTTGTATCTAAAAGTGAAGTGGAACACACTCCTAGACAGGTGGAGCTGGGGGAGGTAGAGGGTTTCAGAGGACCACACTGCAGGACTACATTACAGCGAACACTTAACCAGACTATTTAAATGTTGAGCAAGCAAGCTCATTAGCTGAGCAGAGACTAAACAGCATTTAGTAAATTATGTGAATGCTAGCAGAGTTTCATGGCGGAATTAGATATTTGTAGATATATCAACCTACCGTCCAAAAGTTCCTCAAAATCATCAACAAAGAACTCTCGTAAAGGGGGTCTCTTTGGCCTTTTCAGAGTGTTTAGGAGCTGCTGAATCTTAGAGGACACTCGACTGTTGACTGGAACGCCTTTAGACAGAGATAGTGTCAGGAGAAGATAGGACAAAGAAAAAGAGAGAAAGATGGAGAGGATGAGATAAAAAAGCAGGGGAAGGTCACTGTGAAAGGATGGTGGGGTTTCACACAACAACCTGTCAGTCAATGTAAGGCTGTATGCCCATGGGGTTGGTTAAGATGGTACTGAGCATGCTCAGTAGAGACACCTGACCCAGAGCATCAAAGACTCCTTGACTCTGATTGAGGCACCTGGACTTGTGCTGCCTAGCAACAAGCCGCTACCCAGCCACCCATCTCATCAACCATTCATGAGCTTTCTTCTGAAAGAGTCCATCTGATCATGGATCATTTAGGATTACTATAGTTTAAATAGATTAAAACTCCATTCACATGAAACACAGGGACAAAAGATGCAATGAATAAGTTAATACATGTTAAACAATATCACAGTATCACATGAGCACCAGGGTCGTTCTACAAAACGTTACAAACCATGCATAAAATATGTTTACATGAAATGAAGAAAAATGTATTAAAAATATATAAATCATCAAAACACTGATGGAGATTTAGGCAGATTAAGTAATAACAAAAATAATCCAATTAAAATTGAGGGCCAAAAGTCAAATAATGTATTGACGTCCTTTAGAAGAACCTATTTTTAGAAGACATTTGTGCAAAGAAATAATGATGATGATGATGATTTATTGATATTATTATTATTACAGTGATTTCTTGGTGTTACTGTCTTTAGTTTTACCAATAGGGATGTAAAATGGATACATTGTTAATTACAGAATTTATTTAATAATTACATTTCTTGTCCAAAATACATTTAAAATGGTGATTGCTGATCTTTCATAAGTATAATTCTGAATATAGCAAACAGTCACAGAAACACCACAAAATCACCCATGTGTAATGAAGGAAAAAAAAAGCTCTGTAATTTATAGTGTAATAATTATGCTACATTGCCCAACATTTTTTTTTTTTGAGGAACATTTCTCTGCTGGTTTATAACAATTAAAATAGAATCACCCATTAAATGTTTCTATTGAGGTAAACATAGGCCTTCACATGATAGTTAAGAGAGAACAGAACCAAACATCAAGACACAACGATCATCTTCACATGATGAATCTATTCTTTCATTTCTCTGTTAAATGTCTGTCCGTGAATTCCACCGAGAGATGGCTGTGTCATGTATATATGCATGACTGAGATGCTCTCTGACATTCCATTGTCATGAGACACCTGAGCCTCAGCCGCTGTCTGTCTGCCCCTCATCTCTGTCTGCATCTCACACGCACTCACAGACCGTGCTCAAGTACCCAGAATGCACTGCAGGACCCGAGGAAGCCAATTACTGTAACAGCTCCTCAAAACACACAAGAATAAATCCTCTCATGTGAGGATAACCACAACATAACTACTGATATCCTGCCTCATAAATGTCCATAAGCCACATTAACCTTATTAAACATAATAATCACACACTATCACTACCATGATACTGTGGCTAATGTGCAACACTATTCAGCCAAGCTTGTATTCGTCAACAAAAAATTACTACTTTTGAACATGGTGCCATTATAACACCATGTTTTGTTTAACATCTACTATTGTAGCACTACGGTATTCTTTGCAGTACCATGTAAGTACCAATGTATTGTAAGGTTATAAAAGATCTCAATTTCAAGTCTCTACAATATTTTGTTCTTAGCATCTTAGCTGAGGTCACTACTTTAATGTCAATATATGCAATTTTGTGTCAACTTTATTGTCTGCCAAGTGAAAAAGCTATGTTTAGTAGTAATAGTACAGCTCTCTTCAGTAAGCCAAATAATTTCAATTTCATGATCATGAAATCCTATAGCATATAAAGGGTGCGTTATACTTTGCCTTTTATGAACTTCCCTTGCTAGCGTCCCTCTGTCTTGTTTACTTGAATACACATCATTGCTTATGTTGCACAAGTGCCCACTACTGGCAGAACCATTGCAATGGGTTGAATTGAAACGCCCTTGATCGCTTGTAATCTGCTATGGCGTATGGAGTGTGTCACAGTCATGTTGCATTGTGGTATATGGAGCTGCCTGAAGTGTTCATATAAAAAGACTCGGGTTGAGGGTATGTCAATGCAAACTTCCTTTGCCCACCACTTGACTTGATCAAAATGGCGGTGGGAATTCCCCAAGGTAAAGTGAGTTTGTATCTAAAAGTGAAGTGGAACACACTCCTAGACAGGTGGAGCTGGGGGAGGTAGAGGGTTTCAGAGGACCACACTGCAGGACTACATTACAGCGAACACTTAACCAGACTATTTAAATGTTGAGCAAGCAAGCTCATTAGCTGAGCAGAGACTAAACAGCATTTAGTAAATTATGTGAATGCTAGCAGAGTTTCATGGCGGAATTAGATATTTGTAGATATATCAACCTACCGTCCAAAAGTTCCTCAAAATCATCAACAAAGAACTCTCGTAAAGGGGGTCTCTTTGGCCTTTTCAGAGTGTTTAGGAGCTGCTGAATCTTAGAGGACACTCGACTGTTGACTGGAACGCCTTTAGACAGAGATAGTGTCAGGAGAAGATAGGACAAAGAAAAAGAGAGAAAGATGGAGAGGATGAGATAAAAAAGCAGGGGAAGGTCACTGTGAAAGGATGGTGGGGTTTCACACAACAACCTGTCAGTCAATGTAAGGCTGTATGCCCATGGGGTTGGTTAAGATGGTACTGAGCATGCTCAGTAGAGACACCTGACCCAGAGCATCAAAGACTCCTTGACTCTGATTGAGGCAGCTGGACTCGTGCTGCCTAGCAACAAGCCGCTACCCAGCCACCCATCTCATCAACCATTCATGAGCTTTCTTCTGAAAGAGTCCATCTGATCATGGATCATTTAGGATTACTATAGTTTAAATAGATTAAAACTCCATTCACATGAAACACAGGGACAAAAGATGCAATGAATAAGTTAATACATGTTAAACAATATCACAGTATCACATGAGCACCAGGGTCGTTCTACAAAACGTTACAAACCATGCATAAAATATGTTTACATGAAATGAAGAAAAATGTATTAAAAATATATAAATCATCAAAACACTGATGGAGATTTAGGCAGATTAAGTAATAACAAAAATAATCCAATTAAAATTGAGGGCCAAAAGTCAAATAATGTATTGACGTCCTTTAGAAGAACCTATTTTTAGAAGACATTTGTGCAAAGAAATAATGATGATGATGATGATTTATTGATATTATTATTATTACAGTGATTTCTTGGTGTTACTGTCTTTAGTTTTACCAATAGGGATGTAAAATGGATACATTGTTAATTACAGAATTTATTTAATAATTACATTTCTTGTCCAAAATACATTTAAAATGGTGATTGCTGATCTTTCATAAGTATAATTCTGAATATAGCAAACAGTCACAGAAACACCACAAAATCACCCATGTGTAATGAAGGAAAAAAAAAGCTCTGTAATTTATAGTGTAATAATTATGCTACATTGCCCAACATTTTTTTTTTTTGAGGAACATTTCTCTGCTGGTTTATAACAATTAAAATAGAATCACCCATTAAATGTTTCTATTGAGGTAAACATAGGCCTTCACATGATAGTTAAGAGAGAACAGAACCAAACATCAAGACACAACGATCATCTTCACATGATGAATCTATTCTTTCATTTCTCTGTTAAATGTCTGTCCGTGAATTCCACCGAGAGATGGCTGTGTCATGTATATATGCATGACTGAGATGCTCTCTGACATTCCATTGTCATGAGACACCTGAGCCTCAGCCGCTGTCTGTCTGCCCCTCATCTCTGTCTGCATCTCACACGCACTCACAGACCGTGCTCAAGTACCCAGAATGCACTGCAGGACCCGAGGAAGCCAATTACTGTAACAGCTCCTCAAAACACACAAGAATAAATCCTCTCATGTGAGGATAACCACAACATAACTACTGATATCCTGCCTCATAAATGTCCATAAGCCACATTAACCTTATTAAACATAATAATCACACACTATCACTACCATGATACTGTGGCTAATGTGCAACACTATTCAGCCAAGCTTGTATTCGTCAACAAAAAATTACTACTTTTGAACATGGTGCCATTATAACACCATGTTTTGTTTAACATCTACTATTGTAGCACTACGGTATTCTTTGCAGTACCATGTAAGTACCAATGTATTGTAAGGTTATCAGTCTGTAGGTCTGCAATGATATACAGTATCAAAGTACCCAATGCTATTCTATGGCCATAATTATTTCAATTTAACTAAATGTTTGACTAAAAGTATCTTTTGTAGAGTGCATATCATATAAAAATGTAACACAAATCACAGAGCATAGCATAACCTAGTTGTTAAAAGCAAGGACCATTTGTCTAATTATCTCTTCACACATTTACTTAAATACAAACTTTCCCTTGTGGAAAAAGAAGTGCACTTAACTGTAGAGAATGTTCCATTTCAGTCCAAATTATATAAAAACCAACAACTGATAATATAAGATAATGAAAAAATTGTACTTAAGTGTACTTAAGTGGAACATATGTTTCTTAACACCCTTAAGTACACTTTGTAATAATGTCAAATGAAAGGTTTTAAAGTAAATTTAAATAATTCTCTTTTATCTTCTGTCCTGCTTTTAAAGTACACTTATTCTGATGAGTTGACTAACATACTAAAGCACATGTAAAGTACTTGATTATAATTTGAACTGTAGTGTGTTCAGTATTAAATATTATATTCAAGGTTAATGTATTTTTAAAAAGTACTGCATTTTATCTTCATCGTTACAAAATGTGTAATTACGAATATATTTAAATACATGACTACAAGTTCCAATAGAAATAACATTTAAGTATTTTAAGTGTACAATAAATGCTTGTCAGATGTTCTTAAGTTATACTTAAGTGCATTTTATATAAATGTAGACTATAACATTTTTTATTTAATTGGAATCAACATGCAATTAAGCATCCGAAAACATTACATTCATTTCACTCTTAAGTATGTTCTTTCTGTAACAAGTACTCTTTAAAAGTATGCAAAAATGTACTTTCTCTTTCACAAAAGATCAACACAAACACATCTAAAACATTCTTAGTCCCAGATATTTCTAGACAATTCGGTTGTATCTTGTCATAATGCGAAATCTATAAATAAGCGCTGCGAAAAGACCTTGAAAGAATAATTAAACGACATTAAAAAGACAAAGAGACACATTAGGAGGAAATACTTTTCTTATGATAGTAATTTCCAAAAATGACATAGTGGACAAGTTAAGCAGACAGCGTTTAACACAGAGGTCACAGCTGACACAGATGCACAGAGACACCAGGAGGAGGGGCAGATTGAAATAAACATGTATAAATACCATCCATGGCCTCCCCATCTCCCCTGTCAGTGCCTGAAGAAGAGAAAACGTGAATAAACATGCACGTTCATGACAGCATGCTGCTTCTACAGAGTTGAGGTGACTCAAATTGAGCAAGGCAGACATAATCTTTCTGTCTGGGGGGGAAAAAAATCAAATTATTTTTGTTGCTATTAGTTTTGTTGTGTTTAACCATAACTAAACATTCATCCAAGAACTAATACACCACAGCTGATGTATAGTTGTGATGTTCAGCTCTATGTCTTAAAGGGACAGTACACCTAAAAAAAAAAAAGAAAATTGATGAGTCATCATCTATATACCCTAATGTCACTCAAAAAGTTTATGATTTTTCCCTTAGTGGAACATAAAAGGACATACAGTGAAATTGTGACCAAAAATGCACAATAAGTTCATACATCTCACAAAGCATATTTTGAGCATTATAAAGCCAAATGATAGCTAAAAAAGTTACCTTTCATCTCAATTCACAACTGACCCTTCGCAAAGACCTGCCCCCCCTCAGTTACTGTTGCTATGTCTGACAAGCCATGCTGCTCTCACACTACACACCATGCTCTCATGCAGTGAAAAATACATTGTGGAGCAAAGATGAAACTGACAGAACGCCGACAGACAAAACATAGCAGGTTACTTTAGGTATGAAACAAAGTCTCAGCTTTTAAATTTTGTCATTTTTTTAAGAAATTCAAACAATAAATACCATTTTGCGGCTCTTTAATGTGTCGTGACAGATCGCTGTAGCATCTCACTTTAAGTGGCACGTGAACTAATCATCTTTTCATAATTCATATTTACTAGTTATAGCACAAAATAAACATGAATGACATCAAGGTATTTTATTTCTACCGCGGAAAGACATCAATACACACCATTTTAAAGTTTAAGTCCACCAAAGTCTCTCCTGTCTGATTTGTTGAAAAAATGGCGGATTTGGCGTTATGATTGGTCAGATCGCCTGTGCCATTTATACGGCACACTTCCTGGCCAGGATTTTTATATTTTTATATTGCCATGACACTGTAGAAGAAAAAAGAAATGGGTGGAAACGAAACTGCATACAAACTTTTTTTTGTGTGTGTATTATCAACACACTAGGGGTGAATGTGTGGAAGAGTAAATGAGACTATATTTTACAGTGACATGCAGGTGAGTAGATGATGACAGACTTTTCCTTTTTTTAGTGAACTATTCCTACGAAAGAGCATGCTGATGACATGATACTGTCTGGCTTGAACAAGCAGAATCATACACAAACAGGCAAAATATCCCACTCTTTTTTTCAATAGATAACTGTAAAAACAATGATCCAGAATGTTGGATAAGTCAACTTTATATGTATGTGTGCTAAGCATTTTTAGCTTCGAATCTCAATCGCTAAACACAAATCAGTCAGCTTGAACTTCTAGACGCAGTAGTGTTGAGAGTTCTGTGGAGAGATTACATGATATTCCCTCTTTCTTACAGGAAAGAGACGTGTGAGACAGGAAGATGCTCTGCTGTTGTGGTGACAGCAGGCTGAAGCTTTAGGGGACTCACCATCGGCGGTCTCCATGACGCTGGTGTGTGTGTATCCACGTGGAAGCCCTCGCACTGATGCCACCTGCGGACGCTCCGCATGCACCGAGCGCTCCGACAGGCCTGTCACATCCGGGGGTGCACTGTGGTTGTCTGTCATGAGGTGCCAAAGGTCAAAGGTGAGTGGAGGTCAAAGTATAATAATGCATGATGGACTGCTCTGTGATCAAACCCATGATAAATTACAAAATTTATCATCTATTTAAGAAGCTGCACAGGATTTGCCTGCCATAAAATCTCATTGGTCCAAAATTCAACTCTATATAGCTCAACAATGACGACAACAACATGGAATTAAACATCAAATATGTTCTGATTCCATGTGATGATTAATGTCTGTCTTATTCTAAACGCCCAACAGAAGAGCTTTATAGTCTTTTATAAACAAGTGATTTCCACACTATTAACCAACAAGCAGCTGTTTTGCATTTAATCTTCCCTCTTACAGCTGGGCTTGTCTGGCAGGCTGCTTTAAAACAGTGGACCCACAGTGCGGCTCTTGACACTGTGTGAAATCTGAGGTTATTTACAGTGAGCTCCCAGGGCCAGCTCGAAGGGCAGAAAGGCAGAAAAAGAGGGTGAAAGAAAGAGGAGGAGATGAGAGAAAGGGAGAGATAAGGGGAATGCAAATGTTTATAAGCAGAACTCCGTAAAGAGCAGAGCAGCTGAGTAAAGTGAATGTGTTCTGCAGTTATGGTGTTACTCACTCTCATGCCGTTCAAAACTTATATAAAGTAAGAGTTTTTATTCTGTTCCAGTTTATACATTGTAAGCAAACGTCGATGAGGGGCTGTCAAGATCAAAACACAAAAAAGCACCAGAAAAGTATTCAATTTGACTCTGCAATCTTTAAAATGTACAAACATGAATGAGGTTTGAGGCCAGTCTGTTCTTTACGCAAAACAAACTGTATGATTTCAGAAGACATTTAAAAGTCAAAAAAATAAAAAGGTAGCTCTGGTCGCTAAACCTTTGTTGTAAAAAATTTTTTTTTAAATGGAATCAACATTTTAAGCTTTACATTTATGGTAAAAAGGGTTTCATTTTTAATAAGGGTTTAATATTTAATTAACTGAAATAATGGTAATACACCAAATTACAAAAATCTTTTTTTGTAAGTATTATTTATTTATTTAATTAAATTTTTTACGTAATATACTGCCACTGAACTTTAAAATGCTAAAGACAAAGTTGAATCAAAGCTCATCATAAGTAAGTTTTCCACAAGCTTAGGTAAATATTAATATACAGAAGTTGCACAATGTCATGAAACTAAGAGGAAACATAAATGTCAGCAGTCAAACTGATGTTCTGGGAATGTCAGTGTACAGTTCTTTTCACTCTCAACAACCATACATTTAACAGTATTTTACTGTAAAATTACATGTCCCCGTGAATGTTTTACAGTTTTTCACTGTATAGAGTAACGGAACTTACAGTTAACCAACTGACATGTTTTTTACAGTCTTTTACTGTTAGAATGATGCTTTTTTACAATGTTGGAATATACATGCAATTAAGCATCCGAAAACATTACATTCATTTCACTCTTAAGTATGTTCTTTCTGTAACAAGTACTCTTTAAAAGTATGCAAAAATGTACTTTCTCTTTCACAAAAGATCAACACAAACACATCTAAAACATTCTTAGTCCCAGATATTTCTAGACAATTCGGTTGTATCTTGTCATAATGCGAAATCTATAAATAAGCGCTGCGAAAAGACCTTGAAAGAATAATTAAACGACATTAAAAAGACAAAGAGACACATTAGGAGGAAATACTTTTCTTATGATAGTAATTTCCAAAAATGACATAGTGGACAAGTTAAGCAGACAGCGTTTAACACAGAGGTCACAGCTGACACAGATGCACAGAGACACCAGGAGGAGGGGCAGATTGAAATAAACATGTATAAATACCATCCATGGCCTCCCCATCTCCCCTGTCAGTGCCTGAAGAAGAGAAAACGTGAATAAACATGCACGTTCATGACAGCATGCTGCTTCTACAGAGTTGAGGTGACTCAAATTGAGCAAGGCAGACATAATCTTTCTGTCTGGGGGGGAAAAAAATCAAATTATTTTTGTTGCTATTAGTTTTGTTGTGTTTAACCATAACTAAACATTCATCCAAGAACTAATACACCACAGCTGATGTATAGTTGTGATGTTCAGCTCTATGTCTTAAAGGGACAGTACACCTAAAAAAAAAAAAGAAAATTGATGAGTCATCATCTATATACCCTAATGTCACTCAAAAAGTTTATGATTTTTCCCTTAGTGGAACATAAAAGGACATACAGTGAAATTGTGACCAAAAATGCACAATAAGTTCATACATCTCACAAAGCATATTTTGAGCATTATAAAGCCAAATGATAGCTAAAAAAGTTACCTTTCATCTCAATTCACAACTGACCCTTCGCAAAGACCTGCCCCCCCTTAGTTACTGTTGCTATGTCTGACAAGCCATGCTGCTCTCACACTACACACCATGCTCTCATGCAGTGAAAAATACATTGTGGAGCAAAGATGAAACTGACAGAACGCCGACAGACAAAACATAGCAGGTTACTTTAGGTATGAAACAAAGTCTCAGCTTTTAAATTTTGTCATTTTTTTAAGAAATTCAAACAATAAATACCATTTTGCGGCTCTTTAATGTGTCGTGACAGATCGCTGTAGCATCTCACTTTAAGTGGCACGTGAACTAATCATCTTTTCATAATTCATATTTACTAGTTATAGCACAAAATAAACATGAATGACATCAAGGTATTTTATTTCTACCGCGGAAAGACATCAATACACACCATTTTAAAGTTTAAGTCCACCAAAGTCTCTCCTGTCTGATTTGTTGAAAAAATGGCGGATTTGGCGTTATGATTGGTCAGATCGCCTGTGCCATTTATACGGCACACTTCCTGGCCAGGATTTTTATATTTTTATATTGCCATGACACTGTAGAAGAAAAAAGAAATGGGTGGAAACGAAACTGCATACAAACTTTTTTTTGTGTGTGTATTATCAACACACTAGGGGTGAATGTGTGGAAGAGTAAATGAGACTATATTTTACAGTGACATGCAGGTGAGTAGATGATGACAGACTTTTCCTTTTTTTAGTGAACTATTCCTACGAAAGAGCATGCTGATGACATGATACTGTCTGGCTTGAACAAGCAGAATCATACACAAACAGGCAAAATATCCCACTCTTTTTTTCAATAGATAACTGTAAAAACAATGATCCAGAATGTTGGATAAGTCAACTTTATATGTATGTGTGCTAAGCATTTTTAGCTTCGAATCTCAATCGCTAAACACAAATCAGTCAGCTTGAACTTCTAGACGCAGTAGTGTTGAGAGTTCTGTGGAGAGATTACATGATATTCCCTCTTTCTTACAGGAAAGAGACGTGTGAGACAGGAAGATGCTCTGCTGTTGTGGTGACAGCAGGCTGAAGCTTTAGGGGACTCACCATCGGCGGTCTCCATGACGGTGGTGTGTGTGTATCCACGTGGAAGCCCTCGCACTGATGCCACCTGTGGACGCTCCGCATGCACCGAGCGCTCCGACAGGCCTGTCACATCCGGGGGTGCACTGTGGTTGTCTGTCATGAGGTGCCAAAGGTCAAAGGTGAGTGGAGGTCAAAGTATAATAATGCATGATGGACTGCTCTGTGATCAAACCCATGATAAATTACAAAATTTATCATCTATTTAAGAAGCTGCACAGGATTTGCCTGCCATAAAATCTCATTGGTCCAAAATTCAACTCTATATAGCTCAACAATGACGACAACAACATGGAATTAAACATCAAATATGTTCTGATTCCATGTGATGATTAATGTCTGTCTTATTCTAAACGCCCAACAGAAGAGCTTTATAGTCTTTTATAAACAAGTGATTTCCACACTATTAACCAACAAGCAGCTGTTTTGCATTTAATCTTCCCTCTTACAGCTGGGCTTGTCTGGCAGGCTGCTTTAAAACAGTGGACCCACAGTGCGGCTCTTGACACTGTGTGAAATCTGAGGTTATTTACAGTGAGCTCCCAGGGCCAGCTCGAAGGGCAGAAAGGCAGAAAAAGAGGGTGAAAGAAAGAGGAGGAGATGAGAGAAAGGGAGAGATAAGGGGAATGCAAATGTTTATAAGCAGAACTCCGTAAAGAGCAGAGCAGCTGAGTAAAGTGAATGTGTTCTGCAGTTATGGTGTTACTCACTCTCATGCCGTTCAAAACTTATATAAAGTAAGAGTTTTTATTCTGTTCCAGTTTATACATTGTAAGCAAACGTCGATGAGGGGCTGTCAAGATCAAAACACAAAAAAGCACCAGAAAAGTATTCAATTTGACTCTGCAATCTTTAAAATGTACAAACATGAATGAGGTTTGAGGCCAGTCTGTTCTTTACGCAAAACAAACTGTATGATTTCAGAAGACATTTAAAAGTCAAAAAAATAAAAAGGTAGCTCTGGTCGCTAAACCTTTGTTGTAAAAATTTTTTTTTAAAATGGAATCAACATTTTAAGCTTTACATTTATGGTAAAAAGGGTTTCATTTTTAATAAGGGTTTAATATTTAATTAACTGAAATAATGGTAATACACCAAATTACAAAAATCTTTTTTTGTAAGTATTATTTATTTATTTAATTAAATTTTTTACGTAATATACTGCCACTGAACTTTAAAATGCTAAAGACAAAGTTGAATCAAAGCTCATCATAAGTAAGTTTTCCACAAGCTTAGGTAAATATTAATATACAGAAGTTGCACAATGTCATGAAACTAAGAGGAAACATAAATGTCAGCAGTCAAACTGATGTTCTGGGAATGTCAGTGTACAGTTCTTTTCACTCTCAACAACTATACATTTAACAGTATTTTACTGTAAAATTACATGTCCCCGTGAATGTTTTACAGTTTTTCACTGTATAGAGTAACGGAACTTACAGTTAACCAACTGACATGTTTTTTACAGTCTTTTACTGTTAGAATTATGCTTTTTTACAATGTTGGAATATAGTTATAGTTCATATAGTTAAATATAGTTATAAACATAGTTATGTGGACTACTTTTATGATACTTTCATGGTGCCTTTTGTCATGTTTAGAGCTTGATCTCCATTTACTTTTATTATATTGAACACAGCAGCAGGAACATTCTTCAAAACATCTCTTTTTTGTTTCACTATAAAACAAACGTCATAGCTTGAAACGATATGAGGGTGAGTACTGCATGAGATATTCCTTTAACAGGATTCATTAAATCCAAAAATTATTTTACAGCAGTACTGGAACCTGCTCAGATCTTTTGTTTCCCTGTCAAACTAACAAGGCCAACGGTGGCTTTATCTGCACGGATTGGCTTCAGGACCCTAAAGATATGCCAGTACAGCGAAAAAAAAAAAAGTTAAATTAAAAACCAACCATGCACCATGAAAGCATGCAGCCAGAACATTAAAAACCATGATTTTAGCATCGCCGTGAGCAGCAGCAGAGCAGTAAAGTGTTCACTGTGCTATAAACATTAGCAGTGTGTAAGCATGTCATGCGCAAATGGGCAACTATAGAGATGAACGTAAGATCTGTTCTTTTGTTTTTAAGGCACTGAGCTGTAACAGAAACATTGATGATGATTTTGCACTTAGGAGTAAGACAGGGTTATCAGAATCAGAGCTCCAGGACTGAGATCAGTACACAATTCCAGCCACCCAGCTATAAAGACCAGCATTACTTTTCAGTTTTTGGTTTTGGTGCTGGTCTACCCTGTTGAAAAAACCAGCATATGCTGCTGGGTTGAGCTGGTTTAAGCTGGTCCTTAGCTGGTCATGTGCTGGTCCTAAGCTGGTCCTAAGCAACTAGCTCCTGCTCAGGACCAGCTTAGGACCAGCACTTGACCAGCTTAAACCAGCTCCAACCAGATATGCTGGTTTTTTCAACAGGGTAGCTAGTGGACCCACATAGAGTAGCCAAGCTGTAACATTTAGCCAGAATGTTAGGTCCACTACTGTTCAGAAGTTTGAGGTAGATTTTTAATGTTTTTAAAGTATTTCATGCTCACCAAGACTGCATTTATTTGATCAGAAATACAGTAAAACTTCACAATATTGTGAAATATTATCACAATTTAAAATAACTGTTATATAGATGAATATATTTTGAAATGTGATTTATTGTAGTGATGCAAAGCTGAATTTTCAGCATCGTTACTCCAGTCTTCTGCGTCACATGTCACAAATCAATTTAATATATTGATTTGCTGCTCAAGAAACATTATTATTATCAATGTTGACAACTGTGATGTTGCTTACTATTTTTCTAGAAATGTGATACCGTGACAAACACAATCTTTCCTACCTCAAACTTTTAAACAGTAGTGTATGTTGACCAAGGAAGAAATGCTGGTTAATCTCATTTAAAGGAACAGTTCACCCAGAGATCGAAAGCCTGTCTTAATTTACCCACATCATTTACTGTAAATCCTGTAAGACTTTCTCTTTTCCATAGAACGTAAAAAAGGAATAGAACAAAACATTTTAGAACAATATCCTGGCTGCTGAATTTATTTGACAGCTTTGTGTCAGTAACAGACCAAACTTTAAGTCATTATTTAACTTTATCTCACATCAAAAATATTACATGGCTTCAGAAGACTTGAAAAATAGGCCATAAGTCTGTTCTGAGGATATGAGGAGAGGTTAGTTGGAGTGGTGAGTACTGACCTAGCTGTGTGTGAGCCATGAGGTCGGCCAGTACGGTTGCGGCTGAAGCAGAGGTGGTGTTTGTGGCGTGATGGGGTCTTCCTCCGGGGTGGGAGGAGGTGGAGGATGCAGACGATGAGGTGGAGGAGCCCTGGATGACTCTGTTAAACCAGTGCTCTACGCTAGGATGTGCCTGGTATGGAGACGAGGAGGCGATCCGTCCCTGCCGGCGCAGCGAACCTTCGTCTTCTGATGCGGAGGAGGTGTCTGGGAGGTCAAGAACAAGAGGACTAATGGTTAGGTGGAACCGTTTTATTTCAATGTCATTTAAAAAAATTGTGAAACAGAGAATTTATAAAACAGCGATTTATGGAACTGAGAAAGTATCTGAAATTGAAGCCATACTGGATCAAATAAACCTAAAAATGGTAATTTGTCTTATGAGGAAATTAATTATCTAATGAAGCCAAGTATGTAGTTGATAGGATGTTCTCGGCGGCCACTTACTAGTCCAAGTCAAAATGTCATTTTGCTCTGTACTTTAATATAAGTTTACATTTACTTACAGGTTAAATTGTAAGTCTGATTACATGGAAAATAATAACACTGAGGTTTCATAGTCTCAGAAATTGCATTTTGTTTATGTTGAGCCATGCTGAATATATTACAAGTTATCAGTTTTAAGATCAGAGATCCATGAAAAAAAAAGTATAGTGTACTTTAGTATACAGTCTTAAGTCGCTGGGGTATATTTGTAGCAATAGCCAACAATACATTGTATGGGTCAAAATTATCGATTTTTCTTTTATGGCAAAAATCATTAGGATATTAAGTAAAGATCATGTTCCATGAAGATATTTTGTACATTTCTTACTGTAAATATATCAAAACTTAATTTCTGATTAGTAATATGCATTGTTAAGAACTTCATTTGGACAAATTTAAAGGTGATTTTCTCAGTATTTTGATTTGTTTTGCACCCTCAGATTTCAGATATTCAAATAGATGTATCTATGTGTATATATGTATAACAAACCATACATCAATGGAGAGCTTATTTATTCAGCTTTCAGATGATGTATACATCTCAGTTTCGAGAAATTGACCCTTATGACTGGTTTTGTGGTCCAGGGTCACATATTTTAATAGTATACAAATAACTAAAATAACACTGGATGTAACTGGTACATATTCAAAGAGTTTTCATGCTAATGACTGTTTTATATTTGTTATAATTAACACAGATCAACATTCAGCAGCTCTGAAAAACATATGAAAATACTGCTCTGGTAAAAATCTTAATATCTTTTAAAGTTTGTTTTGAATATAGATTATGCAGATCTTTGAACCTCTCACATTATAACTGATATGGAAATATGAAAAAAGGCATTACATTAGAGACTCACTTGGTTGGATAACTGATTAGTCTGATTATCCCTTCATAGCCTTAAGACCTCAAACAATCAATGCATTACATAACTAGTTATTACCATTAATCTAACCCATCTAAAAATAAAAATAAATCTTCATCTTGCACTCACGGAAATAAAGAAATGATACTAACATACTTACAGTGGCCTCAAAAAGTAAAGGAAAATGTCAAGTGTCATGTGTAGCTACTCAAATTTTGGATGTACTTTTGTTGCCCAGTGTCTTTTAATAAGCTGGCAGTGGATGCATGAAGTCAGTTCTCCTCAAATAAACATTCACTATCAACATGATCCACTAAAATTTCATAACCAATGTCAAATTACTTTCTATCATCCCTTTGAACAGTATAATTATTATTCTATCGTTTCAGAGCTGACAATCTTCATTTTATTTTTAAATGAGGCTTTAAAAATACTTTTTTGGAACCACTGTGCTGTAAAAAGTCTTTATAACAGAAAAATAAAAGCTATATTCAAAGCATCCATCATAAACTTCAGAAGGACTAATATATGATTGTTATGGAAGAGAAAGCAAAGAGCGTTTGTTCTCAGTCCAGACTAAAATATCACTTTGATGAGAACTGCCGGGGGTTAAGCTGGAAAATACATATGATGATGTAATGCTCATGTGGTCAGAAACGAAGCATGCGAGGCCTGCAGTTATGGTAACACACATGACTACATCATTCCCCCTATCATAAATACATTATAAACGTAATGCCACAGAGAATAACAGATGTCCGCCAATTAATGAATAAAATATGTCAAATAGCTAAACCATCTGTACTATTTCATCTCGCATAAGGCATCTTCTGCTGGGATTTAAAAAGTGTAACAACAATGAGAAAAAGAACCCAGTGAATTCATGATCAACTAACTCTATTAGAAAAGTAAACTGTAATGATCATTAGGCTGCATTACCACTAATGAGCTGGTGTTCTTCAGAGACTTCAGTGTAAATTCATAGTATTTTTTTTTATTGTCCACAAGGCCAGAAGTCTTATTGTCAACAAGTCACTTACTTTAATGTTTGTAACAAAAACACGAGTTACATAATGAAGTGTAAAACTCCCATGTCATACTACTAGCATGTAATACTATATTATGTAAATACATTTTTAATACATTCCATAAAATAAAATATAAAAAAAACAACAACATCCAAACACATTAGAGTAAAATTGCACAACCCAAGTTTATTGTATTTTTCACCATTAAACAGCTTAGACGTGCACAGAATTTAATCGAGAAAAGGGACAAATTAATGCATAAAAAGACAAAAGAGAGAGAGATTGACTGACAAGAAGCCTGTAGGTGGTAGCAGATTCATTTAACATTAATTATGCAATTAATCACCCACAGGGAGCAATTACTATGGAGCGTGTCCAGCAAATTAGGAGACAGACACTGAACAACACAGTCATGCATTAAATGTGAAAGGCATTAGCCTAATGTATCTCTTCAAAACAGCATTCTTATGAAGGAGAATAATCTAATTACACTCAAGGGTGCCTGATACCTGTTATTATTAGTGCAAAATAGTCCTGAACCCTGAATAAATCCCTGAATTATATTTAAACTAAAGCTTAGCATTAGTTTCAGAAACTTACATTTTGAAACTGAAATGACTGATGATGCTGCTGATTTAGAGATCAAGGTGGACAATCATCAATAGTCAATAGTCAAATATATTAAAATATAAAACAGAATTTGTAAATGGTTATAATATTTCACAATATTGTTGTTTTTACTTAAAGGGGTCATATGATGCGATTTCAAGTTTTCATTTCTCTTTGGAGTGTTACAAGCTGATTGTGCATAGATGAGATCCCTGAAGTTGCAAAGACTAAAGTCTCAAAACCAAAGAGATATTCTTTATCAAAGTTAAAACTCTGCCACGCCCCCCTAAAGCGGCTCGTTCTAACACGCCCCCACATATCTACCTCACTATGTGGAAATATTTGCATAATGCCGCCCAAATGTGCACGCAAAGAAAGAAGGCGTGGTTTCAGTAACCGCAGTTAGTGTTGAAGCAGCATGTCAGGGAGACGCTGTGTGTTTCTAGGAGAAAGCAAAAGCACTTTATTTGGCCTTCTGAAAGTAGATGCATTTAGGAATCTTTAACAGAACAGCCATGCATTTTATGGACGACCGTTCGTGAACCTAGGAGAGGAGGTAATTCTGACTTTGCTATGACAATCTGGCGCTTCTGAATCAGCTACTGTTTTGTTATTAGTTTAAGTATTTGCTATTGACTGTTCAAATGCGGAGTTTTGCGCATCGTGTGTGTGTGTGTGTGTGAGAGAGAGAGAGCGCGAGAGAGTGAGAGAGAGAGCGTGCGAGAGAGAGAGAGAGCCTTTCGGGCTCTGTCTTTACATTTATTTTGAAAGCTGAAGCTCGCGATTATGGTAAGGGGCATTACATTTCCGACGAGTGCTTGTGGTGTTCGGCCAATCACAATGCACCGGGTCAGCTGGCCAATCAGAGCAGACTGCGCTTGTCGGAAGGAGGGACTTTGTAGAAAACGAAGCGTTTGAGAGAGGCGGGGCATAGAGGACCTACAATAATGTACAGTATTTGAAAAATAATGTGTTTTTTGAACATTAAAGCATGTCAACATATTCTGTTACACCAAATACACAAAATAATGATCTTTAAAAAAGCATCATATGACCCCTTTAAATACATGCAGTCTTGGTGAAAATCTTTAAATAATAAAAAAAAATCGTACGCAAATCTTGCAAAATCAAACCTTATTATTATTTCTCAGACTTAGGAATTTTGTTCCAACGTGATCAGAATTGCTTTTCAAATTTCTGCATGTCTAATAATTTATGAGCTGCTCGCAAAAGAACCCCATAAAAAAATTAGGCTCATCATTGTGAACACTATTGTAATTCTATTCTCACTTCATGTCCTCAGGCACTTGGAGAGTAACCTTGACACAGATGCAGAAAGAGCCAGATTGAAAGAGAAAGAGACAGAGACAATAGGCATGAAATAGAGTCATGGGAGAAGAGAAGTGATTTGAGAGAGAAATTGAGAATGACAAGGAGGGAAAGGATGAGACAGAAATGAACTGGAATGAGTAGGTGCGTCAAGAGAAGACAGAACGAAGAAAGACTGTACTTTTAACAACTGCTGTACTGAAAACCTGACCTTTAAAGCAGAAATAATTCTTCTAAACTTCTCTATCAGTCACTCCACCAGAAAAGAGAGGTCACGTCCAGAGGACAAACATGGCACAGTTTCACAGGACAGAACAGACCAGGAGCTAACAGGATAATGAATGCACAACAGTATAAGATGACAGACAACATCAAAAACGGCCAGGAAAGTGGGTCAGACAGCATTTTTCAAGCTGGTCAGATCCAGACAGAAGCTAAATCAAATCAGTCACACTGTAATAAAGCTGCTCTATTGCTATAGAATATAGAGGTAGCTAGGTTTGATGTCAGTGATACCAAACTCCACTGGTTCTTGCATGTTACATGACTGACTGCAAGAGGAAATGCTTGATTATATGCAGGTGAAAATAAGATTTGTAATGGGGTAGAACTGAAGGGGAAGATTTCACAGCATTTATAGCAATTTATGGCAATTAACGCCTTCAATTTTGATTTGTTGATATAGTCTGTAATCAAAACTTTATTTTTTTTTTTTTCATTTTTGGGTGAACTACTTCTTTAAAAAAATAATGAGGTAAGAGGGGTTGGGGCATAAGGCAAGAGGGGTATCTGACAGGCCAGATGGGTTATCAGATCATCTCCGTCGGGGCAATCAGACAGCTTAGCCACTTTATGTGTGCATGTGCATTACTGCATCCAGGGCACAAAAGAATTAGCGGACCATGACCAATTCCCACAGGGGGCGACCCTGAATGGGCCTGTTATGCTGATCTGACCCCACCCTTGAACCTTTAATCCCGCTGACCTTTCACTGACTTCATCGTTCTGACCGAAGAAGGACAGAAGAGTGTATCAGGACACCAAGAATCAGAAACTCGTTAACGCTAAACAAACAGGGAGAGACAATAATGTAATCCAAATTGATGGACAAAGCAAAGACGTTACACAAACATGAGGAGAGAGATGAGCTTTTCTGACCACAAGATGTAATAATGTGTAATCATAAAGAAATCATCGGACATAACAAAATAAACTGTGAAAGGCCCAATTTAGTCATATTGTTATAACAAGATCAATCCAGATATAATACTGAATAACCAAAAGGAATGAAAAAATCGATCATAAAAATCTTCAGAATAGCTGATTGATTCTTCCAAGTTGGCAACACCACAGATGCCGTCCGTTATTTCCGTCCTGTTTTCTTTAGCCCGCCTCCTCCCCAGCACCACCTGTCTAGATCTACTACAGGGTTCTTTCTACTTTACCTTGCAGGAGCATCATGTATTTTAATACCTGTAAATCAGAATTAGGGCTTCCCTCGACTAAAGATTTTTCTGATCGACTAGTAGTCGTTCATTTGAAGCAATTAGTCAACTAATCGCACGTTTATATTAATAAACCACATAATTCATAATAATGAGCCTTTAATTGCCTATAGCCTATCAGCGCTCAAGTGCACGCATAATTGCCACAGCGCACCGCAGAAGTAATGATTACGAATGCTTCAGGGGAAAAAAAGAGAAAGAAAACTGTCTTAGCATCATAATAATTCATTGATTATCTAGTGTTTTCTGTATTTTCGACTGCAGTGACGAAGTCGACGACACTGACTCGTCATCTCCACAGAGGACGTGCACGTTTCATACGGAACATAATCTGCACCCTGTTTGCTTTCGTTATTTTACAAAAACACAACGTTTTGTTGTTATTGTGAGTGCGCACAAATGAAAGTAGACCTTTTACAGATTTGAAAGATGTATTACTATAATCTGTATGACCAAAAGTGATGGAGTATTTTAAGTTAAATGCAAATGATCGCACCGGCACCTCCAAGTCAACTGTCATGCAGTGAGCACGCTGCTATTCAGATTTTACACTCTGCACAAACACTTGCATAGCGTGGTTTTCTAGGATAACGTTAAAGCGGCCATGTAATGATGCTACTACTTACATGTTTTAGATGATAAACCACATTTGAGGTCGATGAACGAAACGAACATTTGCATGTCCTGAATAATCTGTCCATCACGGAATACGTGACCTCACCACTTTCTGTTTTTTTTTTCCTGCGACTAATACAATTTAGTTGACTTTTAGTCGACTAACGGTTAGTCGAGTATTAGGGGGCAGCCCTAATCTGAATATATTACAGCAGAAGGCTTTGTTCATGCCAGCAGCACCAGCGTAGAAGATCTAGGTTGATAAAAATGTACACTCCTTTTCCTATCAATAAAATGCCGTTAAAATCTATTTTGAGGGTTGTCATTATTGAAATGTGATTTCATGTATCAGTTTTTTTCTTCAAGACAGCAATGAGATTAAATGTAGGGCCAATGGAGGTTTCTCCTCCTTAGAAAAATACACCAGTAATCTCACGTTTCCTATCGAGTTTCATAAGAGATCATAACAATGTTTCAAACTGTGCTCAAATTTGCCAAAATACCAAAGTTTGCCATCAAAAGTCAGGGATTTCAATATGATCTCAAATATTTTCCCTCAAAATCTAAAAAATCAAATGATCTGAGCTGTCCACATTAATGTTAGAGCTCTGTACTTTTACTGTCAACAAGTGTCCCATTTGTGTCCTCTTAATTTCTTTCAGGGAAGATTTTGTCAATCTCTTAATGTCCATTTTGTGATTGCTCACATTTGTGTATTAACTAAATGCGATAACTCATATAGCTAAATCTGCAGCCAGTGGGTCAATAAAGCTGGAACTTTGTTAAATATCTCCATATGCAGGCGTGTGGGAAGGTGGACTGTGAACTGAGTGGTCAGAGGCTGTTCTCTTTGTGTAAATAATGAGGCTATTATTCATAAAACTATGCATTGGCTCAGAAGATCAAAACATATTGATACTATCAAAGACTGAAATGCACATTGTCAACTGCTGTCAGCTGAAAAATTTTAATATAAAGTTAAAATGCTTCCAAAACATTTTCTGCTATAGCCTTCATAGAAAATGCTCCCATAAAATTCCTAACTGTGTGTCTTTGGTATGTGTGTGTGTGTTTACCTGGGGGAGTGCATGCTTCAACTGAAGACTGCACTAGAACAGAGCGTCTCTTGGAGGGCATCGGCATCTTTCTCTCTTTATACTTTGCCAAGGCTGCTTGTACGGCTTCTGTATGCAGGTCTGTGGGGACACAGATAGTGTAATATTTTCCCTCAAAATCTAAAAAATCAAATGATCTGAGCTGTCCACATTAATGTTAGAGCTCTGTACTGTTACTGTCAACAAGTGTCCCATTTGTGTCATCTTAATTTCTTTCAGGGAAGATTTTGTCAATCTCTTAATGTCCATTTTGTGATTGCTGACATTTGTGTATTAACTAAATGCGATAACTCATATAGCTAAATCTGCAGCCAGTGGGTCAATAAAGCTGGAACTTTGTTAAATATCTCCATATGCAGGCATGTGGGAAGGTGGACTGTGAACTGAGTGGTCAGAGGCTGTCCTCTTTGTGTAAATAATGAGGCTATTATTCATAAAACTATGCATTGGCTCAGAAGATCAAATAATATTGATACTATCAAAGACTGAAATGCACATTGTCAACTGCTGTCAGCTGAAAAATTTAAATATAAAGTTAAAATGCTTCCAAAACATGTTCTGCTATAGCCTTCATAGAAAATGCTCCCATAAAATCCCTAACTGTGTGTCTCTGGTATGTGTGTGTGTGTGTTTACCTGGGGGAGTGCATGCTTCAACTGAAGACTGCACTAGAACAGAGCGTCTCTTGGAGGGCATCGGCATCTTTCTCTCTTTATACTTTGCCAAGGCTGCTTGTACGGCTTCTGTATGCAGGTCTGTGGGGACACAGATAATGGCAACTTTAGATGAGCCAGACATCAGAGAATGGACATTTTCAAATCCCAAATGTCTATATGATATGATGGAACAGATATCATAATAACAAGATAATAATAATATACTTCTCGCCAAGGTGCCTGCTTCCTTTAGTCACATGATTTGGTGATTCATTCACGTTAATTTAATGCACATGCAAGTTAATTAGTAATAATTAAACGTGCAATAGTGATACTGACCCTAGAAATGTGTGTATGTGCACATGCAGTACTTGCAAATAATATAATATTATTGATTTAAAAGGCACACTTTCATGACTGTTTCTTAACACAAGTTTTAAATGTGCTAAATTGCAGCTTCATTACAAATGCGTAATAATTAACTTTACATTACCACTACTATATTTAAATACAACACATAAAATATTCAGTAGAAATTACATTTAAATATATTGTAGTTTATCATACAGCAAATGCTTGTCAGTACATTTAGCAGCACATTTTCACCATATTTTAAAAATTATAGGAGTAATTATGAAGTTACATAAAACATGTACTTAAGTGGTTATACCACTCTAAGTTCAGCCAATTGCATTTAATATCAATTTATTACTTGCAAATAATATAATATTATTGATTTAAAAGGCACACTTTCATGACTGTTTCTTAACACAAGTTTTAAATGTGCTAAATTGCAGCTTCATTACAAATGCGTAATAATTAACTTTACATTACCACTACTATATTTAAATACATCACATAAAATATTCAGTAGAAATTACATTTAAATATATTGTAGTTTATCATACAGCAAATGCTTGTCAGTACATTTAGCAGCACATTTTCACCATATTTAAAAAATTATAGGAGTAATTATGAAGTTACATAAAACATGTACTTAAGTGGTTATACCACTCTAAGTTCAGCCAATTGCATTTAATATCAATTTAAACTATAATATATTTTATTTAATTGCAATTAACGTGATGAAGTGTCTGAAAATGATACATTCAGTTCACACTTAAGTACACACATTTATTAAGTATATTAATTTCATAATAAGTACTCTTTGTATAGTTATGCTGAAGTGTACTTTTTCACAAGAATCAAATAGTGTCTGTTGTGCTTGTCCCTCATGATTAACAGAGACATGTTTCTACCTGATCTAAAGCGTTCATCCCTTGAGTTTGCCACCCGGGGCTTGTTCTGTTTGGAGCCTGGAGGGGCCACCTGTGACGACGTTTGGATCCTGTGTTCTATCTGCAGAGACGGATCTACACCTGCACACAAACCAGACCAGAATATGATCATCTCAGTCAAATGCATTACTTCAATTTCCATGCTTGACATTTTACCCATTAGTAAGCTAACTGTGTTGTAGGGCAGTTATAACAAATGGACTGAAGCACTCGGCATGGGGCCGCTATGCACGGAAGAAATTACAATGCTGCCCACTGCAACACAGCCCAACACACAAGCATTAGATGTGACAACATACACTGACATATACTGACCGGACCGCGATCATTCAAACTGATCAGAACTGATCAGCTGGGACCACATAGAGAAAGAGTGCCATTTAAAAATATGAAGGAGCAGTTTATTAATTTGAAAAATGTAAACTGTAAATAAATAATCGCTTTACAAATAAAAACAATACAGACATATATATATATATATATATGTGTGACCCTGGAGCACAAAACCTTAAGTCGCTGGGGTATATTTGTAGCAATAGACAAAAAAAATAACATTGTATGGGTCAAAATGATTGATTTTTCTTTTATGCCAAAAATCATTAATATATTAAGTAAAGATCATGTTCCAGGAAGATATTTTGTAAATTTTCTACCGTAAATATATTAAAACATAATTTTTCATTAGTAATATGTATTGCTAAGGACTTCGTTTGGACAACTTTAAAGGCAATTTTCTCAATATTTAGATTT